TTTTAAATGATGAATCATTTGTCCTATGATCCCATTTAAAATTATCTTGAAAAATGGCATCCGTGGCAACAACTAATAGAAGTCTTAGTGACCATTTATCCAAAAATTTATTAAATCAAGTTTTAGGACAATCGGTGGAGGGAGATCAGACTATATGTTCAGTTTCTAGAATTCCCCGAAATCGGACAGCCTATTTGATCACCAACCACTTTATACATTAGTGTGACAGCTTTGCGGGTACGATTGCTTTCATTCACAATAAATTAGATTACTTGCCTTATGCAACCGGCTTTACATCTCGGCATCGAGTGAGCCAGCTCACTGATGCTGATATTCGTAGTGGATCTGGTCTCTTAAAAATGATGCGAAACGGCCGTCTACATTGGAAAGACAGTTGTAGTCCTTTTTGTCGTGAAAATATGGAAGATGCAGAACAGATCTGTCATCTTGTCACATTTTAAACGCATAGGTACAAAAAAACCAAATGTATAGAAGAATAATATTGGAATTCACAATGCATGAGCTCAAAACTATAATAAAATGAAAATCAAATGATCGCAATAATGCAAATTGTGGAGTAGAAACATATCGTCGTCGTTGAAAAGGTGTTTTTTTTTGTAAAATAAAAATTCATAAAAAAATTAATTCATAATAAAATAGAAAAAATTAATTTTCACACAAAAAGTTCCAAGAGACACATAAAAATTTTTCTTATCTCTGATGTATCATTTGGTATTCCCAAAAGTATAAATGAGGAAGATGTGGTTGAGCTATTTCCTAGTCTAAAGGTTTATTATGTAAATTTAAGAGCTGTTCAAGAGAATTTAAAGTACAAAGAATGATTGAGATGAATAGAAAAGGCAAATGCAGAAGGAAGAGAAAAACAGCAGCAAATGATAAAAAGCTTTTTTTAATAAAGAAAAACCACCAAACAACTTCTAAATAGCCTTATGGACAGATTAGGCAAAAATATCTCACCTGGACTGTTCAAATTTGAATAAAACTGCTGTTCTCACATAAGAGCTATTTTTTTTGTAAACAGTTAAACCTTCATCGTAAATATGTTGTGTAGTTGCTGTTCTTAGAAACGTACCAGACCCATTATGCACGATGAACTCTCAGAATCGCTGGAACATTGATTGGAAATTGAACTAAGAAAAGTTAAGGCAACGGCCAAACAGTTTTTCAACAAGCTTTGGCTCCAATATCAACTTTGATAAAATATTTCAAGATCAAACATATTAGATGCCTTGAATGGCCATGAATCTCACCGGATTTTAACCCAATTCAAAATACGTGAATTGTTATAAACAATTTACTTCATAAAATGGATAATGACAGATAACACAGGCCAACGATGAAAAAACTTTTTCACTAAAAATACCCTATTCTAATGTCTTTCAGGTCGCTGAATCCAAATATGATGCTTACAAAGCTGTATCACCCACAATTTCTTCACATTTTGTAGTAACATTTTTTTAATTAAGCGATTTCTACAGAATTTAACATATACTATAATAGTTTAAATATAATCAAAAAAGTAGAGGTAATGGACTTAAATTGTGTTGGTAGCACTGCTGAAACATACTAAAAGATCAAAAAAGGTAGATTCCATTTGAACGTTAACAGCTGATGTTTGTTTACTGTCAATCTAACCTCACTTTCACGGTTTTTGTACACGTGCTCAACACAATGTCTAACCGCGGTTGTAAAAACTCTGTTGACAGTTTTTGTTATATTTGTGGTGAGTTTGTGATTAAAAAACACCAAAGAAACATTACGGACTTTGTGAAAAAGGTTTATCGATCATACTTTGGAACTTTACTTGGCGATCAGGATAAATCTTGGGCGCCGCATAAGGTATGTTATGTATGTGTTGAAGATCTAAGAAAATGGTCAAAAAAGGAGAAAAAATCCTTCAAATTTGCAGTTCCTATGATATGGAGAGAGCAAAGAAATCATTCTGATGATTGTTACTTTTGTAGTGTTGATGTAACTGGTCACAACTCAAAAAATAAGAAGGTAATAAGCTACCCTAACCTTATGTCTGCCATCCGACCAGTGAAACACGGTCAAGATATGCCGGTCCCTGAACCTCCAGATGATTTGGATTCCATTCAAACTGAACCATCTTATGATGTAGAATCTGAGTTAGGTGAACAAGATGATGAAGAATTTCGATGTATTACAGAAAATGTAGAGCCTAAATTGTTTACTCAGATTGAACTTAATGACTTGGTTAGGGATCTAGGCTTAACTAAAGAAAAAGCTGAATTGCTTGGCTCTAGACTAAAAGAAAAGAACTTGTTGGGTGCTGGAACCAGCATTTATGTGTATAGAAAGAGAGAGCAACAATTTTCAAAATTTTTTGAACAAGATGGTGATTTGGTGTACTGTACAGACATTCCAGGTCTGATGAATGAATTTGGTGTTGAGTACAAAAAGGAAGACTGGAGGCTGTTCATTGACTCATCCAAAAGAAGTTTAAAGGCTGTTTTATTACACAATGGAAACCAGTACGCATCTATACCTGTTGGTCATTCTGTACACATGAAAGAAAGCTATGAAAACCTAGAAATAGTGCTGAATAAAATAGGCTATTGTGATCATGGTTGGATGATATGTGGTGATTTAAAAGTAACATGTATGCTACTTGGTCAACAAGGTGGTTTTACCAAGTTTCCATGTTTCTTGTGTGAATGGGACAGTAGGGCTAGAGATCAACATTGGTGCAAAAAGAACTGGCCTGCTAGGGAATCTTTAAAACCAGGTGAAAAGAACATTCTTCGCAAAAACCTCGTAGATCCAAAAAAAGTGCTCCTACCACCTCTTCACATAAAGTTAGGCCTCATGAAACAGTTTGTGAAGGCTTTGCCTAAAGATGGGCCATGTTTTATGTATCTCTGCCTAAAGTTTCCACACCTCTCAGAAGCTAAACTGAAAGAAGGCGTCTTTGTCGGACCAGACATTAGAAAAATGATGTTAGACCTTAACTTTGAATCGACAATGACCTCAAATGAGAAAGAAGCATGGGTGTCATTCAAGCAAGTGGTTACCAAGTTCTTGGGGAATAAAAAAGATCCAGAATATGTTGCTATTGTTGCTAACATGTTAAAGAACTTTAAAAAGTTAGGATGTTTGATGAGCCTGAAAGTTCACTTCCTGAACAGTCATCTTGATTACTTCCCGGAAAACTTGGGCGATGTAAGTGAGGAGCAAGGAGAGCGTTTTCACCAGGACATTAAACTGATGGAAAAACGCTATCAGGGCCGCTGGAACACTAACATGATGGGGGACTACTGTTGGTCACTTCACAGAGAAGTTCAGCAGGCGACTCATCGTAGAAAAAGCTACACAAGAAGTTTCAAAGAAAAGAGGGAAAGAAAATACAAACCAATCCCAGATGACTAATGGAACCTGTATTATATCATATGTATAACTGTTTCAAGTAACCTATTGTAATAATATATTCATGATTATGATGTAACATAGTGTTTCATTAATTTCACCATATACCGTATTTATACTACATAAGAAACTACATAAAAATGTATACTATATAAAAACCCAAATTGCAGAAAAACTATGGGTGATACAAAAAAACTAAGGCCAGATTTGGATTCAGCACATAAAAATCAATAAAAAGCAGCTATTAAAGTAAAAAAAGTTTTCACAAAAAAATTTTTCGTCGGCCTGTGTAATCGATACACAAACTATGTTTGTTAGCGAAGAAAATAAAGAATTTGAAATTGAATCCAGAATCTTTTGGAAAGCAACAAGTGGTAAAAAACTGTAAAAACTCTCGAGTTAAAGCCAAAACGTTCCCAAGAAATTATAAAAGTTTTTTTTTTGTAAAATATAAATTCATAAAAAAATAAATTCATAATAAAAATGAAAATAAATTTTCACACAAAAAGTTCCAAGAGACACATAAAAATTTTACTTATCTCTGATGTATCATTTGGTATTCCCAAAAGTATAAATGAGGAAGATGTGGTTGAGCTATTTCCTAGTCTAAAGGTTTATGGTGTAAATTTAAGAGCTGTTTAATAGAATTTAAAGTACAAAGTCACCACAACGATTGAGATGAATAGAAAAGGTAAAATGCAGAAGGAAGAGAGAGACAGCAGCAATGGATGAAGCTTTTTTAATAAAGAAAAACAACCACAAAGAACTGCTTAAGTCTTATCATATGGTAGCTAGTAATCGTTCCATGAAAGAGACCCTACAGAGGCAAAAAAAACAGTTATGAACAGCTTAGGGACAGATTAGGCAAAAATATCTCACCTGGACTGTTCAAAATTGGATAAAACTGCTGTTCTCACATGAGAGCTATTTTTTTTGTAAACAGTTAAACCTTCATCGAAAATATGTTGTGTAGTTGCTGTTCTTAGAAACGTACCAGACCCATTATGCACGATGAACTCTCAGAATCGCTGGAACATTTATTGGAAATTGAACTAAGAAAAGTTAATGCCAACGGTCAAGCAGTTTTTCAACAAGCTTTGGCTCCAATATCAACTTTGATAAAATATTTCAAGATCAAACATATTAGATGCCTTGAATGGCCATGAAACTCACCGGATTTTAACCCAATTCAAAATACGTGAATTGTTTTAAACAATTTACTTCATAAAATGGATAATGATGGATAATCGATACACAAACTATGTTTGTTAGAAAGAAAATAAAGAATTTGAATTTGAATCCAGAATGTTTTGGAAAGCAATAAGTGGTAAAAAACTGTAAAAATTCTCGAGTTAAAGCCAAAACGTTCCAAAGAAATTATAAAAGCTTTTTTTTTGTAAAATAAAAATTCATAAAAAAAATAAATTCATAATAAAAATAGAAAAAATAAATTTTCACACAAAAGGTTCCGAGAGACACATAAAAATTTTACTTATCTCTGATGGATTAGATTTGGAATACCCAGAGGTATAAATGAGGTAGATGTGGTTGAGCTATTTCCTAGTCTAAAGACACTAGAATGATTGAGATGAATAGAAAAGGCAAATGCAGAAGGAAGAGAAAGACAGTAGCAATGGATGAAGTTTTTTTAATAAAGAAAAACAACCAAAGAACTTCATCAAGACTTATCATAAGATAGCTAGTTATCGTTATTGACTGTTGATAAAAGAGACCATACATAGGAAAAAAACAGTTATGGACAGCCTTTTGGACAGATTAGGCAAAAATATCTCACCTGGAGTGTTCAAAATGTGTGCTTTCTCACATGAGAGCTATTTTTTTGTAAACAGTTGAACCTTCATCTAAAATATGTTGTGTAGTTGCTCTTCTTAGAAACGTACCAGACACATTATGCACGATCAACTGTCAGAATCGCTGGAACATTGATTGGAAATCGAATTAGGAAAAGTTAATGTAAACGGTCAAGCAGTCTTTCAAGATCAAACATATTCGATGTCTTTAATGGCCATGAAAGTCACCGGATTTGAACCCATTCAAAATACGTGAATTGTTATAAACGATAGATTTCATAAAATAGACAATAAAAACAAACCTGATTGATGCGGTCATCCTAATAGTTTGGAAAGCAACAAGTGATAAAACTTGTAAAAATTTTCGAGTTCGAAAGCCAAAATGTTCCCAAAAAATTATAAAAGCCAAAATGTTCCCAAAAAATTAAAAAGCCAACAAGGAATATATTAGTTCCTAATATAAACAACTAAAATTGTATTTTTACTCTTTTTTATCATCTATAACAACTAATAAATGTTGTCTAGTTGAAATTATCTGTTTAGTTGATATTAATTCAAACAATACTGTAGTAAAATAGTTAAATAAGATGTGCATCAGATATTTTAATGTATTTTCCCCCTCGCAATTCACCAGATGATCTGTGGCTAGATTCCGAATACTCACCGGTTAATACAATCTAAATATCACAAAAAATATTCACCGGTATTTAGTAGCAAAAAGCAAATATAAGTTATCAACACAACAATCTACGGTTCGTGCAACTTTACGAAATGTTCCAGCGTTTTTGGTATTTGATCTGTATAGGGGATTTTGTTCTTGCAAATGACCGTCGCGCAAACACATTTTAGAGATAAATACTGTAACAAATTGAGGTTGCTCTTTTGGTCGGGTTTGAGACATTCGATGGCTTCTATGGGGGCTTTGCCTTCGAGATTTGGTATGTCTATGTGAGCGCCGTACTGGAGCAGCAGTTTGACTATCTGAAATTAAAAGATTAAATAAAATCATATATTCTACTATAGACAGTATACAGAGATGAAAACGATGATAGTTCACCGTGATATTTTGCAAGACTTTAAACGAGTTGAACTTCCTTTACATAATTAATAAGTTATGTATAGCACATCATTATAGTACATTTGAAAATGATTGATAGTACAATATAACATCATAAAACAGTGACTTAGATTAAAATAAAATATTCAGAATTGTTCTGAAAATTTTTCTTCTCCTATTCTTCTTCCTCTTTATAAGTTATTCTGCTTGTTCATTGGCGGATTAATACCACTGTGGCAGGTTGTCACTCCATCTTTTGCTTGGTCGTCCGATACTTCCTCTGCCGATTGGTGACCTATCTCTCACTATTTTAATGACATGGGTCTCCTCCATTGTGCTTATGTGGTCATTCCATTATTTTTTCTATTTAGTCTCCATTCGTTTATACACTGTACATTATATTTTCTTCTAATGTCTTCACTTCTCTTTTGATCTCTCAGCGTATTTCCTGTAATTGTTCTCAATACTCTCATCTCTGTAGTTTTCAGTAGCCTTTGCGTTGGAGGATAAGACGGAGGCTGTAGTACTCAGAGGCTATAGAAAGAGAGATAGGGTTGAATTTGAGTTCGCGGTAGCGAAAGTGACGCCCAAAAAGTACATTAAGTATCTGGGAGTTACTCTCCACCAGGGTGGGAGTTGGGGAGAACATTTGAGGGGGGTAACCCGCAGAGCTGTTCAGAGAATGGCTGCGCTGGGGAGGATAATGCCTAATATCGGTGGTTCCAAATCCGAAAGGAGACGGGCGCTCCACGGTGTTGTGCAGTCTGTCGTCCTCTACGCGGCCCCAGTCTGGAGTGACGCAGTAGAAATACTAACTTACAAGAGGCTTATGGTACGCGTGGACAGAACTAGTCTGCTGCGGGTAGCATGTGCCTACAGGACTGTGTCAGCTGCCGCTCTGTGGCTTATCACCGGCTGTGTTCCTTTACATGTGCTGGCAGGTGAAAGGTCAAGGATTCACAGTCGTAAGGGGCGGAACATTGGAGAGCGAGAAAAGAATGAGATAAGAGTGGCCGAGAGATTAGTTTCAATCGGGCAGTGGCAACAAGAGTGGGAGGCAACACGTGATGTGGCGGAGTGAACGAAGTCACTAATCCCGAACCTTCGAAGCTGGGTGGACTGTGGGCATAGGCAGCTGGATTACTATCTAACGCAAATGCTCACAGGCCATGGCTGCTTCCGCAGCTACCTTTCAGGTTTAGGAGGCTCAGTCCGATCAGTGCCTTTACTGTGGTTTCTCCGATACTGTGACACACACGATGTTGGAGTGTGAGCGTTGGGCGGATGAAAGAGAGAAGTTTGTAAGAGAGTGTAACTGCAGAATGTTTGATTCCGTGAGAGAAATGATGGAGAAAATGATGAGGGATGAGTGGTGGTGGACACGGATCCACAAATTTGTCAGGGAGCTGCTCTCTTCAAAAGAACAAGAGGAGAGGGAACTCGCAACAGAATTCTAAGACAAGCGAGTAGCACCTTGGTAGGGTTCGGACTGTCGCAGGCCGAAATAAGAGTAAATAAGAGATAGACGACGCGAGAGAGATGGCAGCCTCGCAAAGGCAGGGGTTGAAAGTCCTTGGTGGTTCGTGTGGGTGTGGTTTCCTCAATTAATGTGTCGGAGAAATAATGGGAATCAGGTGATAGCAGGGCACCGGGAGAGATGTTTGCCTTAACTGACCCTTCCATCCTGATGTCTGGTGTGACAGACGAGAGGTTTTTAGTTGGACGCCGACTGTTTCGGAGTGGTGAAGAGGCGAGGTGTCAAGGGTCTAAATTCCTTGGGCATCTCGCCCCTGCACAGTTTCGCTAGGGTATTAGGAACCCAACACTACCTGTGTGAGTCACAGGTGTCTGTATGCAGATTTTCCTTCTTCTCTTCTTCTCTTCAAAAGATGTAAAAAAAGCCTTTGCTCTCTGGCTGTGTCGGGTCTTGTTTCTGAGGCATATGTCATTATTGGTCTTATACTGAATTTATAAATTTTTAACTTCATCTCAGTGTTAATGTGTCTGTTTCGCCATATAGTATTATTAAGGCATCCTGCCAGTCTATTTGCTTTTTGTACTTAATTACTCACTTCATTGTCCAGGTCTCCATAGCTAGACAGTGTAATTCCCAGGTATTTTATTTCCATTACTTGTTCAATACTGATTCTATCAATTTCTATTTTACATCTGATTGGTTCTTTGCTGACTACTATTATTTTAGTTTTCTGAAATGAGATTGTCATATTAAATTCTTTTGCTATTATGTTAAATCTATGGTCCAGTCTTTGTAGACTATCTTCATCTTGGGCTATCAATATGGCGCTGTCTGCCTAACAGAGTATCTTTATTTCTTTGTTTCCCATTCTGTATCCTCTTCCTTTGTTTCACTTTTGATGATGAGAGACATGAAAAGAGCCTCCACGTAGATTGCCATCACATGTGAAAGCAATCGGGCGTCCCCTGGAAATAAGTAATGTAAATGCAAACGCAAATAAAACTGTCTTTGTCAAGGCCATTTTTGATGACTACTTTAATTAATATTGAAGGACTATCAGCAAGTAAATAAGATCTACTGTCTAATATGTGCAGAGAACACGGTGTCGATATCCTACTGGTTCAAGAAACCCATCGAGGTACTGCAAACCGCAGACCAAGGATTCGAGATATGAGACTTGTACTGGAGAGACCACACGACCAGTATGGTAGCGCAGTCTTCGTCAGACCAGATACCGACATAGTTTCCAAATCTTTAACATTATCCAGATGACATCGAGATCTTCACAGTGGAATGAAAGTCTTGTACGGTAATGTCCATCTACAAACCATCTACAAAACTAGAAAATTGGGCTGAAAACATGAACCTCAAACTTATTCATGATCCGTCATGATCCGATCATGATTACGTCTTTCAACAGCGTAAGATGGGGAAGAGGTTACAAGCCAGACAATATATTTGTCAGCGATAGGATTGGAGACCAGGTGACAAAAATTGTTGGAAGCGCACTCCCAAAAACACAGCACAGAGCAATAACTTGCTTTTTGAACGCGTTTCTGTTCCTTTCAAGAGAAAGTTCAATTTCACTAAAGCAAGATGGGAAACATTCGCTAAAGCACCAGATCAAAAAGTATCCCAGCTATAACCGTGCTCTGATTCATACGATAAATTTGTACAAATCGTAAAACAAATATCACGAAAATATATTCCTAGAGGTAGCCGAACCGAATACATAGCGGGGCTAAATGAAGAATCGAAACCCCTACTTGAGCAGCTATATGAAGACGATTCCTTTTCGGAAGCAACAATACAGGCCGGGGAAAAAGTGTTACATGCGATATCCGCCAACAGAACGGACAGGTCGTGCAAGCTGGTTACGAGTCTAGACATGAAACAAAACGCGCTTGGAAATTAATTCGGACATCAGATAGACCACTGTCTTCTGACAAATGGTAAGACGACATCAATAAAGAAGAAAGAGAGAGTACAACTAAATATCGACGAAGAAGAGGTTGTTCTAGGTACCTCCTTTTGTCTGGAGGGGATGAGAGATGCGATTCACCAAGTGAAAGATAATAAAGCGGCTGGTCTAGATGATATACGAAAAGAACAAATAAAGCACTTTGGATCAAAATCCCTAGAGTGTCTCGTAAATATGATGAACTGCTGCGTTAGTACACTCCAAGTCCCCAAAATTTGGAGGAAAGCTAGAGTGGTGGCCCTCTTAAAACTAGGAAAGGATCCGGCGGATACAAAGAGTTTTAGACCTGTCTCTCTTTTGTGTCACCTTTTCAAGGCGTTCGAAAGAATGATACTGAACCGGATCGTCGAATCTGTGTATACTAAAATTATTCCTGAACAAGCATGGTTTCGACCCGGAAAATGCTGCTGCAGTTAAACTCTTAATCTCACTCAACATATTGAAGATGAGTTTGAACGGAAATAAATAACAGGAGTAGTGTTCATAGACCTGACTGCCGCCTATGACGCAGTTAACCATCAACGGCTGCTGGTAAAACTCTACGAAATTACAAAGGATTTCCGACAAAAAGGTTAATGAAATGTCTTCTCCACAATATACGCTTCTATGTAACACTATTTACAACATTTACACCAACGACCAACCCAAAAACCAACAAACAATACAGTTTATTTACGCGGATGATACAGCTGTGGCAGCTCAGGGAAGTACCTTCAATGAAGTCGAAGTAAAACTGACAGATGCCCTAAAAGACTTAGCACTATACTATGACGAAAACCATCTGAAACACAACCCTACAACAACCCAGGTGTGTGCTTTCCACCTAAGAAACAAGTATGCCCAAAGGACACTTGAGGTGGAATGGCATGGTCAGATGCTGGAACACAATAAGACGCAATTCTCCTTAAAAAAATATGTTCCTTTATATTCACACCCTATAAAAAATCAATGAGATCTATACAAATAAATAGGTTAGGTTAACTGTTAAACTTACCTGCTCTGAGTAGTTATAAGTGAGCGTGCTGATGTGCAAAGGCGTTTGTCCTTGTTCATTTCTTTCGTTGACAGGTGCTCCACATTGCAACAAAAATTGAACTACACTGGCTTTAGGAAATATCATCTGAAAATACAACAAATATGTACTTGCAATAAATACTCTTGTCTACTGATGCTGGTAGAAAAGTCTAGTCTAATAGAATGGTCCAGAATAATCTCTAATAAAAAGGAAATTTGTAAATCAAATAGAATTACTTAAAAAACTCTTCGAAGACAGTGACAGTAAGTTAATTTGTGTGCCCAATCAGTAATTTTCCATTTGTAAGGGTAATTTAATGAATGGTTAACAAAAATATAAAACAATTCAAATATATATACAGGGTGTCCAATTAAGTCGGCACCATATGCGAAACTTTATTTTCATAAAAAAAGTTATTCTTTATAAAAAGTTCTAAATGAATTACTATTTAACTGGGAATAAGCCACAATTAAAGATAAAAATACATAAAAATACATACACAAGGAATAATACGAGGAAAATAACAATACCGTACATAAAAGGATTATCAGAAAAACTTAAAAGGATAGGAAATAAATTCAACATTTCAACAACATTCAAAACAACAAACACGTTGAGATCTATTTTGTCCAAAACCAAACCTAACAATGAACAAGAAAAGACAAAGAATTGCATTTATAAAATACCTTGTGAATGCGATCAGTTTTATTTAGGTGAAACATCAAGGCCATTAAATGTTAGAATAAGTGAACATCAATCTTATATTAAAAATAGAGAATTTGATAGATCTCAAATATGTAAACACGCATGGAATAATGAACATAGGGTTCAATGGAATAATTCAAATGTAGTCCTAAAAGAAACGGATGGTAAAAAAAGAAAAATCAAAGAAGCGGCTCTAATTATGCTAAAGGAGGCCAATTGTGTCGCAAATTCCTCGGCAGAATGTAGTAGGATCTGGTTACCAATATTGAAAGAGGAAGTTATTAATAAGAAAATACCAGTATTAGTAAGTCAGTAACATATAGAGGATACATCATTTACGTTTTTTAAATAACGAAACATATAAAATCAGAATTTTGGTGTTTATTGAAGGTAAACTAAATGCACGAACAAATACTATGTCGGGATAGTATTATGAGGTTTTTTTCCTGGGTTTTCCCTCGTAATTTACTATGGAATCACTAACAGGAGAATTTTACTGTCATCATGTTATGTGTTTGTCTTTTTAAAGACGAATTATATACTATGATTTTTTTTAAGGATATTCTCAAGTTAAAGTTGATTTCATGTAATCGAATGAACTATCTTATAAGTAAAGTCGTACCAGGAGCGCAACTTAACAATATTGGCAATATCATTTTAAAGTCGTCTACTTTAAAATGCATAATGTATGTCTGAATTGTAAATATAAATAACAAAAAACAAAATTTGTTTAATTTACTGTTTGTATTTTGAGAACGATTTCCGAAGTGGAAATTGAAACGTCAATAAACGTATTTTTACCTTTAATTGTGGCTTATTCCCAGTTAAATAGTAATTAATTTAAAATGCCACAAGAAAATAGCTTCAGAACAGTATTAAGTTCTAAATGATCTAAAACCCAGAAGACAATCATCAGATATTAAATTTTTTCATTTAACAATTTAGTATAATGTACTTTTTGTCATAAAAATAAAAAAGTTTCCCATGTGGTGCGGAATTAATCGAACACAGTGTAGGTGTAATGGTGGTGACAACCTAAAAGTAGTGTTTAAAGCTCTACAGTTAGGAAGAAGCACATTAAGTAATTTGAAATGTAATAATAAATACTATACAATAAATCTGAGTTTAGCCGCGAAGGTCAAATAGGCGTCAGCAAATATTACAGTGTTGCCACTATAAGAAATATTTCCAAAAAAACTGGACTTAAAAAGTCGACCAATAGGTAACGAAGCGATAGTACAGACAACTATAGCGAAATAAATAAAATAGTATATAGTTTAAAAAATATTACTTACAATAGGTTCTTCGTTCATAAAATAGTTAGATCTGATCGTATTCAATTTTGAAACGCACATATGCAATATCGTATCTCCTAACTGTACGCATCTGATGTTTTTCCTCAAAAAATCCGATATAGCTTTCTTCACAATCGCAACTTCATCGTCGGTGGACATGGTTTCTACCATCAGATAGATTAGATGGGCGATACATTTCAACATTTTGTCAAAGAAATCCACTTGTCGCTTGTAAACGGGTCGTATGTTTAACAGTTGTCTAATTTCTGAAAATGAAACACAATATGAGGAATGGACACTAGTAAAACTTCCATAAAATTGAATAAAATTTATTATACAAATTTTAAGATAAAAAATAATTAAGATTTTTTAAATTTTAAAGAACTTGAATGTGTGGTGGTGATATTATAAAACAAATTAACAATTCATAACAAGCAGACATAAAATTTCTTTAACTCACATATAGTACTAACGCGCTATAAGAAGTATTCACTTCCGTCGGCACCCTTTAAGTGGCACGATCCATTTTGTTTATATTATTGTGTCTAATAACAAAATAAGAGACTTTTGTGTCTAAGACTATAGTTTATTTTTATGAACGAGAGAGTAATTAGCATAATTTTAACTGGTACCTTCGACCACTCCATGGGCGTGCTCAAGATTAATTGAAAAATTACTTTGAATAATTGTAAAAAAATAAATGAATTATTTCAGTGTTATAAAGTGTTGTGTGTATGTAAACAAAAGTGACCTCTTTTATCACACACTATATTAGAACTAACTGGCCTACATTAAAAAGGGTTTTAAAAAATTCACATTTTTTTTAATTTTTAAAAATTACAAAAGAGAAAAAGAATTTTTAAAACCGTCTAAGGTATGTTAAATAGATGAATAAAAATATTAATATAAAACTTACAGCTACTTGTTACAAATCCAAATCAGATTCAGAAGATGAACTTTCAGAACCAAGATTTATAATAACTGGCTCGATCATTTTATCAGTAATATTTTCCAGCTTCCACATTTTTTCCTCTTCTTTAATAGTGTGATTTACTGCCTTTTCCCAGTTTTCAGGTTTTACATTATTTACTGCCTCCAAAAACAACTGTTTCAACATCATGACTTTTAAAAGTGGTATTTTTTCTTGAAACTTCACTCTTTATCTGTGCCCATACCAGTTCAATCGGGTTTAATTCACAATGATATGGTGGGGATCTAAGTACTGTCATTCCACGATTTTTGGCAATTTCATCAATTTCGTATTTTTTAAATTTTTCTTTATGAAGGGCACACAACGAATAAAGTTCCTTTCTTATAGATCCGGGATGGTACGTAATATTTTCTGAATTCAGCCAATTCTGCAAGTCTTTTTTTAACCACTTGGTTGTGGGCAGTCCTTCTATAAGTCTGGAGTGATAACTTGCATTATCCATTACTATTACACAGTTCTTAGGAAGAAGATCTATCATTTGTTCGAACCATTCTTGAAAGACATCAGCGTTCATGTCTTCATGGTAGTCACCGGTACGAGTTGATTCAAAAGTTAATAAACCACCTTCAACAAAACCGTCTGAACTGTCAATGTGTACTATTATCAACCTGCGTCCCTTTCCTGATGGTGGGTTTAAACCAGTAGATAAGTTATTTACAAAAGCGTGCCTTTGACTTGTAACAGTTTCATCCTGCCAAAATTTATTTGGTGTATGACCCTCGTTGATCCATGTTTCATCAAGATAAAATATTTTTCTTTTATGGTTTCTCATTTCCTTTATGGTTCTTAGAAAATGTCTTCTCCATATGACAATATCGCTTCTTTCTAATAAAATAGACTTTCTGGGATTCTTTTTCCAGCGGAAGCCTATTTCTTTTAAAAGTTTTCATAACTTACTTCGACTCATTTCTGGGTAATCCTTATCATCTCGAACTGAGACAAGAACTTTATCCAATGTTGGAAATTCTTGTCTAAAGAAGAATTCATGCACTTTCCGTCGAAGTCCTTCTTTAAAATGATATTCTATTTGAAATTTTGGTTTCCCTGGAGCATTACGTGGCATTTGAAAACTACCACATTTCTCTTCTTTAATAACTCTGTAAATCGTAGATTTCTCAACACCAAGTGTACTGCTAATTAACTCAACGGTCTCATCAACACTTTCACATAAACGTTTGTCTGTAAATGATTTAAAACAATTAAATATTAATGTTTTTTCATTAACTGTTAAAGGACCAGTTTTTCGGCGTTTACACGGCACTTCCAAATTTTCCATAACACTAGTATACACAATAAACTGCACCTTGCAACTGAAGTACCTACTTTTAGTGAACTGTTAAGAATTTTGAATACGCCACTTGGACCTTCCTACAAAATGGAAAAACCCACTATCACATTTTCTGTGGAATAAGTTTAGAAGGTAATTATCTAGTCAATTACTGTCGTAGATTCCTGGAATTAAAGAATTAAATGTTTGATTGTTGAAACCCTTACTTCGTGGAATGCACTCATTTCAGATAAAATAAAACGTTTTATTTTATCTAAAGAATTAAACTTTATTTTGCAAATAGGTAGGTACTTATTAAACTTTTATTGGTTATATATAACCAATAAAATAAACATCTTACATTTCTTGCAAATTCATTAGTACCTGTTAACCTCCATCACTCCGACACTGGCAACCTTATTTAGGGATTAGTAACCCTCACAACTATTGTATTCTATTCTGCTCCAACCTTTATACCTGGTGGTCATACTCAATTTAAAATTGTTTTCCTATATACTTCTGTAAACTTGTTGACAAATATCTGTTTTTCATTGAGTCACCCGTATCAACAGTTTAGGGATTTGCATACATAATTTATTGTTTTATTACTCTCTCATACATAAAAATACACTATAATAACAAAATAATAGACTTACCGATGATGTTGTGCGTCAGAAGATGGAACACTGACATAATATCATAAAATCTGTGATGTCTGCCTTTATCGTCTCCATGTTTGACAGATTTAGTGTGATAGTCCATCATTAGTCTGACTAAAGCTTGCGCGGCAAAACACGTATCCGTGTACAGGACAGTATCCTTTTCTATCCGAATTTGTAACGCCCTTCGCCAAATATCTATGCATCGCTGATAGCGCAATACGTCCGCGTACGAAGCACCTCGATACATTAACCTGAAAATAATCGAAGTAACGTAAATAAACAATAGCCATGGACCATAAAAAAATGATAGTGAAGATATAATCGATATCTTGAAACCACAAATACACGAGGCTGAATATAAATTCCTATTTATTTCTAACAAGGGAATAACGCTCGACACATCCGGCATGTTGACTGAAAATATAAAATTTGTATTGTACACTTACCTGAATATGGTATCTTTGTGATATGTTCCTAGGATTCGTTCGGCAATAATTAAACTCTGTATTCGCATGGAATCCTCATCTGACGTAATATTTTCTAATTCTTCGAACGTTTCGAACTCTTTTTGGTATCTATATCCTTCTTGAGATTCCATTACTGGTTGTTTTGGGAACAAATCTGCAAAATTCATAAATAAAATTAATATTTGTCTTAATTTTTTTTTAGGTTTTATTTAAGTTGTAAATCGGTTCCAGATGAAACTATTGTTCAACTGTTGTTTTAAAACAGTTGAATAAAATAAAAGAACACAATGCTGCGATATCCTGTATTAACAAATCTGAATTTCTTTTTATGTAATCTCTTATGTACCAACTTGTATTATTTGACCCGACTATGCGTTATTGCAATACTAGCTACCACGATACACACAGGCACAACAGTATATTGCTTTATAAAGAATCGGTATGCCGCTATTGGCGCCTAAAGGTCGATTCAGACGCATCAGTCACGTCTCGTCATAGTCCTGGCGCCGAACCGAACAATCCGTCATACAAAATATTCTTTAATAGAAATATGGCGCCGGAATTCACATTCATCAGGCGACGAACAGTTTCCCAGCTGTCAAATAGTTGATAGTTCTGTGACCAAACAGGACCGGTTCGGCACCGAGACTGTGACGGGACTGATGTGTCTGAATCGACCTTAATTCGGTCCGTTTCGCGCATGACATCAAATTCGACGACCAACACTTGCCATTTGACTTGCAGATGTTGTTAATCATTATTATTTAATGTGTTAGAATACCCAATTTGGGTTAACTTAACGAAAGTTCAAGCTGAATATAGTTGCAACTGTCAAATATGGAAAAAAAATCGGTTTAACAGTGTTGGCATGTGTTTGTAATGTATATGTTGTATGCTTCAAATATAAAGAGGGAAAGCTTTAGAAAAGTACATTTTGACTATATTATCTTACGAATACTGCAATTTTTAATTTATATAAAACAAGAACGAGTAAATATTTGTTTCTTTTGAGAATAGTTGCAGTTCATTATTAGAATTTTTTTGGCAATTGCCATTTCGTAGAGTAGCGGATAGATTTGGCAATCGTCAAACCACCAGTTACCAGATTGCAACAGATGCTTGCAATTAATCGCGAAAGAGACAAATATTTACTCGTTATTGTTTTATATAAATTAAAACTTGCAGAATTCTTAACAAATATTATAATCAAAATGTACTTTTTAAAAGATTCCTCTATATTTGAAGCATGCAACATATATGCATTATAAGAACATCCTAACACTGCCAAATAAAAATATTTTGTTCCATGGTTGACATTTTCGGCTATATATTCAGCTTGAACTTTCATTAAAGTTAACCTCCAATTTGTTATTTGTATTGTTTTTGGTATTGTATGGGTCTGAGAGTAAATGTGTGAAAGTAAATTTACAATGCCGAATTGTGCGGTATGTATGGGCAAAAACTGTAATGAAAGTATAAGAGGTACGAAAATAAGATACTTCAGATTTAAAAAGTAAGAAAATTTAGCAAAAAAAATGGATAATCGCTTGTCGAAGAGAAGATAATTTAAAAAATGGTAAGTTTGGAATTAATTATAAAATGCATATTTATAAGAAATACGCTAAAGAATTGTATTAAATAGGTAATCTATGTATAAGTATCTTTAACTTTTTTCAGCAAGATTTGCTCAATACATTTTGCAGAGAAGTATTTTGAAATTGCTCTGAAACAAAGGTTATTGAATTACTTCTCAAAAAAAATGCTCGCCATTTAAAGGATGATGCAGTTCCTACGTTAAGCTTACCTGGAGGCTCATCAAATACTGACCAAAAGTGAAAATCTGAGGTAAGAACCGTGATGATTACAAAAAACAGACGTAGAGAAGGGGTGGAAGGTATATTAAAATCATCAGCCAGTATTTCAAGTTGTACATTAGCACAATAACCATGAAACGATTACTGGGGAGTCACAGCTTTCAACATGTGATGAACAATCAATTTTAACATTACCAAATATTGAGAAGTGTCGAAATATTATAGAACGTTAATATTATTAGTATCTCTTAATGATTTTATTAATGAATTTGAAGAAAGAGAATTATTTTATTTATAGAAGAGAGCAGGCTGAAGTAATTAAATTGACACAAAAAGTAGAGTCCTTAGAATCACACAACAAACATCTTTTGAAGGAAATCGAAGGAACTGAGTCATCTTTGCTCGAAATTATAATACTCTTTTAGCGACAGTGTTTATGCCGGAGCAAATTAGAATGTTGTTAAACCCACACAAAAAATAAGGGTTTGTTGGTCGACAGAATATATCGTCCAACGTCCGTAACGGATAGGTACCATAAGAATAATGGCCTCAGTAGCCTTCTTTAAATCTAATTTTGGTGACTAAAGAAGATGACTAAGTGATACAGTTGACTAAGATATCGCTACAGCGACAGAAGCAGAATAAGGTTGAAATGTGTAATGGAAGAGGATGATGCAATGAAACACGTTTCTAGGTGGTATGTTTAGAAAGTCGAAAGTTAAATGTTAGTTAGAAAGAGGAGGAGAAATGGCCACAGTAATAAAGTAGTGGGAATTGTAACTAAAATGACTAAACAGAAAATGACCTGGGATGACTGAAAATTAGGAGAAAAGTTGACAGTTGGATAGGAGTGAAGTCACGAATAAAGGAGAAGAGACGATTGACGCAATGGAGGCTAGTAAGTGGCGAGATAATACTGAAGTATTTTACCCGTTTGAAGTGTTCTGCAGATCTAGTCGATAATAATCTATATGTTCTGTCAATATAGGAAGCATCACAATCAGAGCAAGACAATCTGTAAAAGTAGTGGAGTTTATTTTTGTGTCATTTTAAAATGAACTATACTTTCAGATTTCACTGATTTGGAAAAGGTTTTGGAATCATTGTAATGCTTTTAGATAAATTTTAATTATTTTTTAATAATATAATATAGGGGAAAGTGTCCATCGGTGGGACAGGTCCCACAGTGAGACAAGTTATGTATTTCCCGTGAAATAGGTATGAGGTGGCAACGTTGTGCATAAAAGGGAACATTTGCTAATGACTGTAACCATACTCCTAGTTATGTTCTAACGTTTAAAGAGAATGCCGCATGTAAGGTGCTTCAAGTGAGATAAAGTTGAAAACGTGAGTATTTTTTTCCAATTTTTGGTTGCTGTGCATTGTATATATAAATAGTTAGGTTAGCAGTATCGCAGCTATGTGAGTAAAACTGGTTATTAAAGCGTAGACTTTTGGAAAAATTCTTTATATAATGTTAAAAATAAGAACGTACAACTTTTTTAACTGATATTGTATAGTTTCTATACACTGGGACAAAGTGCCACGTCCTAAAGTGGAACATGTCTTACTGTAGGCGTATTGTAAATATATACATTTTTCCCTTGGCATAGAAAACCAATAGAGTAAATTCTTTAATTTCAGATAAAGAAAATGAGTAAAGTCGTCGAAAAGCGAAAGCTGAAAAAGCATGAACCATCGGTTATGCGAGAGGCGGTTGCTATGTTAATTGCTGGACAACCACTGAGAGAAGTAGGCAATATAAAAGGTATTCCACATCAAACATTACACCGATACGTACAAAAACAAAAAAAAAATACTCAAGAACCAATCTGTATGCAGCCAAGATATGATATACGATGAATTTTCGACAAAGAGCAGAAAGATATGTTAGCGAAATTATATAATTTTTGTGCTAAAATGTTTTACGGACTTCCTTTTTTAGAATGCAGGCAACTAGCTTACGAAATGGCTGAAGTCAATAACGTTGAGATGACCGAAAGTTGGAAAATTAGGAAACTTGCTGGAAAAAAATGAATGAGAGGTTTTAGAAGGCGAAATTCTCGCCTATTGGGTTTAATGAGATAAATGTACGAATATTTTTTAATAAGCTACATGCTTGTTACTAAAGGGATGAACGATTCGCAGATGGGACAAGAGTTTTTAATCTCGATGAAACGGCGACCATAACACAACAAAAACATCAAATTAAAATTTTAGCAGAAAGAGGTTCAAAGCAAGTAAGCAAAATACTTCTGGAGAGAAGGACGTACTGGTCACTACCTGTATGATTGTCAGTGCAGCGGGAAATTGGTTTCCTCGAGCAATGGTTTTAACTCGGGTTCATTTTCACACTAGGATGGTTAATGGTGCACCAAGCGGGACATTAGGTTTAGCTTGGAAAATATTCTGGATGAATCTCGGACGTATTTGTGGATGTAATGAAGCATTTCATTAAGTTCAGTGGATCTTCAAAAACAAACCCCTCCATTTTATTATATGATAACCATGAAATCCATATATCTATTCAGTGCTTGAATCTGGCCAAGAAGAATGGGGTGACTATTTTGACCTTTCCGCCACACTCTACCCACAAATTACAACCGTTAGATGTGGGTATTTTTGGACGATTTCAAAAATTTTACAATGGGGCTGTAGATAGTTGGATGCTTTATAATCCTGGCAACTCCTTTACCATTTATGAAGTTGCTGTATGTGTTGGGCAAGCCCATGAAAAAGCAATGACTTCAGACCATCGAGCAAAAAGATAAAAGAGGGAATGTAAAGGTAGTGAGGACAAAAATATTGTTAGATAGGAAGTGCGATCTTTAGAGGCTACATTAAACAAGGAAAGAGAGTCTCTCTCCTTGTTTGACATCAAATTTAGTTGGGTTGTGTTATTGTTTGTCCCAAATGTCACATGAAATCTTATTTATATTGAAGTTTCCTAAAAATTGTGTCGCATTTTAGACTATTATCGTTAATAATTAATTAAAACTTTCTCGTCTAAGACACATTTTGAAAAATATTATATAGCTACTGTTAATAAGTGTCGGAAAATTTAAATTTGGCGCATTCGCATTTCCTGATATGTCCGCCATCAGAGGCCACTTTTTTGGTCTCCTTTCATAAGGGTTAGATTCCCTCTTTTGTCTTTTTGCTCGATGCTTCAGCCACAAATACCAATGCATTTAAAGACTGGTATTATGCCATTTGACTGGAATGTTGTTAGTGAAGATGATTATTTAAGCAGCATAGTGACTGATAACCCTGTTCATCTTAACGTTACCAATGACGAAAATATTCAGGTGAATATGGGTATACCCCTAATCCCGAGAATACACATCTGATTGAAACTATTGCGACGGTTGAAATTCCAGAAGTCCCATTACAAATAAAAGAAACTAAGCCTAAGGCAGATGTATCAGAGATCCCATCAACAAGCGGTGTTAGCGAACACAAATCAGCGAATTTTGTTTCTCCAGAAATATTTCCAGGATATTCCAAGAAAGTAAGTGACCAGAACAAAAAGACGACGAAAAAAAGGAGATTGAAGAACAATTTTAAAAAGCAAGAGAATTGGAAAACAGAAGCAAGACCATTAGAAAAACTTGTAAGCAGTGAAGAGAAAAACAAGCAAATCACAATCAAACGAAATTCGAGGCAAGTCTGTTTAGACCTCTCCACAGATAATGACTACGCAGATATCTCAGATGAATTGGAGGAAGATGACTATGTAGAATTGCTGTTACGTACATTACATAGACCACCAGAGAGCAATGACTTCGTCTGAGTTCAATGTGAAACAAAAGGATCCGATATTTACTACATAGGTAAAGTTGTAAAGGAAGGTCTGCATGAAGTAAGTTTCCTACGCAAACTAATTAATCAAGAGAAGTTTGTGGACCCACAAGATCCTGATGTTTCCTTGGTCCCAAAAGCAAATATTAAGGCCGTTTTACCCCAACCTAACATTATTGGTCAAACGAAAAGGCAAAATTCACATTTGATTTTCATGGGATCATAAATTTACGATGAGTTTAATGTATTGCAATTATTTGAGCAGTGATGTGTTTTCCATTTAATTTTTTTTTTTAGTTAAGGTTGTGTATATTCAGTTACCCCTTAATTATTTTTTAATGAAATATAATTATGTTACTTTTGTTTTTTCCTCTTTGCATTTTTTAGTACATACATTCAAAAATATAGTAATATCTGTTGTAACAGTGTTAATATTTCCCATTCCGCATATTGTTTCATTACATTAAAAATAATTAAAATAACAAATAATGTAAAAAATACGTCTCACACATCTGCTAGGAAATCTCTAAAATTATCTTGTAGCAGAGTTCAAGTGATAAGAAAATCCAGTAAATACTTTTTGAGAAGGACAACAACCTGAATTTTTATGTAGACTGTTAGACTTGAGATTAGAAGTTACGTAATAACGGAGATAATTAATTCGCGGATCGAAAAAATTATAATTTTGTAAACAATTATTGACGTCACTGATAATTCTTAAAAAAAAAAGAAAAGGAAAACTACATCGACCGTATTAATCGAGCTTTTCAACGAAAACAGCAAACTAAGAGACAAATCTGACGTTGTCGAAACTCCTTTAAACTGGGTAAAGAAATGATAAATAAGACCTACTCACAATCAATTTAATTTATCTATTCAGACGACCGGTTTCACTTTCTACAATATGCAAAGCATCTTCAGGTCTCGATACAAAGTTAAATAAATGCTGAAATGATAAAAATCCATATTAGGGTGTTGTCTAATAAAGATAAACATATTAGATGTTATAAATTACAATAATTATGCCAATATTACATGTCTGTGTTTTTTTTCAAAATCAATAAAAATGAATAAAAAGGTATAAAAAGTTTAAACAGACAAGGTAAGACCCACAAATTGTTATAAAATAGTCTATTGGATTGTAATAAATTAATAAATGAGCAAATAAATAAACATTACTTACATGCCGGTAGTCTATTAATTGATGGATGGTAGAACATGGTTGAAACTATCATGTATTGTTGAATGGAGAACTTAAGTCTGCTATTGTAGTTGTTTGACAGTAAACGGGAAGTTCTTGAGGAGATAGATTTGATCTTGAATTGTGAAAGAATTGCACACCCACACAATTTGTACATCTAAGCTTATTCATTGTCATAAAACTGTTACCTTCATAAAACAAATACTCAATAAATAACACACATTTCATAAATATATCTCTCGAATAAGTATAAATAACTTTTAAATAATACAATGGTATATAACATCACTTTCATTTAACAAACAATCACACACCTATCTCTACTTCATTGGATCAAATCTATCTCCTCAAGAACTTCCCGTTTACTGTGAAATAACTACAATAGCAGACTTAAGTTCTCCATTCAACAATACATGATAGTTTCAACCATGTTCTACCATACATCAATTAATAGAGTACCGGCATATAAGTAATGTTTATTTATTTGCTCATTTATTAATTTATTTACAATCTAATAGACTATTTTATAACAATTTGTGGGTCTTACCTTGTCTGTTTAAACTTTTTATAACCTTTTTATTCATTTTTATTCATTTGAAAAAAAAAAACACAGACATGTAATATTGGCATAATTATTGTAATTTATAACATCTAATTTGTTTATCTTTATTAGACAACACCCTAATATGGGTTTTTATCATTTCAGCATTTATTTAACTTTGTATCGAGACCTGAAGATGCTTTGCATATTGTAGAAAGCGAAACCGGTCGTCTGAATAGTTAAATTAAATTGATTGTGAGTAAGTCTTATTTATTATTTCTTTACCTATTTTGAAATGAACTCACACAAGCAACACATTCATGATTCCTTTAAAATGCTATCGAAGTGAGACTAATAAGCAGTAACGAATACGAAGAAATGAACTTAGAGTCTGTTAATGTACATACAGAGAACAATAAAGTGCATAATGAAGAGGATGATACTATTGATTTGATTCGAGATTCTCGATCAATGTCAGCATTGCTTTTGGCTCGGGATATAAACCAATCAAGATTATATTTTATAGTAAAAAATAAAGACAAATTCGGTTGGTAATAGAACAAAGACATTCACAAAAACAGTAGATACTTACTGTACGCTTGTCGGATACGCAACGCGGTTTTCCAATGATGTATAGCTATATCCCACTCGTTATGCTCATCCAAAAACGTTGCTCCCATCAGCTCGTGAGCATCAACTATTTTTTCGATAGGATAGTTGAATGTTGTAATGAGATGTTTGAAAATTCTCGTCGATCCTTTCAAGCATGCCATTTGTAGAGCATCGTCTCCATATCTTGATTTTGCATTGTAGTCTGCTCCGTATTTTAAAAGTAACTGAGTAGTTTCTAATCTAAAAAGATACACAAAAAATAAGAAGTGGGTTACAATTCATACAGTAATTTGCATAAAATACAGTAACTATCAAATTACTTTATCTATTTGTAATGTACAGTAAGGTACATTACGTAGGCATGTGCCTGCATTTAATGTGTAGTTGACTTTACAGCATTAAATCAATATTGATTGCAAATCAATATAATGAATTGCAAATGATTGCTCAATATTGGAGCAAAATTAATATTGACCAACAATATCCTTTGTAAAATTTTAAGCCTTTCAAACAATACATTGAGGAATATTGATAAATAAGAAAAAAAGCATTTGTTGTTAGAAAATTGATAGAAAAACATTATAATTTAAACTGGAAGAGCATTGAAGAATTAATCTATTTTAAACAGATAGGAAAACATCCACCTGCAGATGAAGTTCATAAATAATTAGTTTACTTTCAACAACAATACTGGTAAAAATAAACAGGTTCTCCGTCTTTCTTGTTTATCGACACGATATGAATAAATATAAGTAGGCACAAAATGAATAGAAAATATGAACCAGTTTTTTTAAGCTTTTGTATGAATTTGTTTCAGATATTCGAAGTAAATTATCATGCAGCCTATTTCTTTTAATTTCTGGAAACTTTTTTGTTTTTGTCTTGGTTTTATGTAATTCAAAAAGGCGACAGAATTCTAGAGCTGAGATAAGAAAAACTAAAGAGAAATGGTTCTCGGAGAGATGCGAAGAAATCGACCAGTGCGAAAAGGTATACGACTATCACAATATGCATAAGAAGATAAAGGAACTCACAACAAAGAAAAGCTACAATAGTTTATCGAAAGGGCTGTGCGATGATAATGGAAATCTACAACTAGACCCCGACAAAATAGTTAGAATCTGAGAAACTTATGTGGAACAACTGTTTAATGATGACCGTCCTAGTGGGTGTACATTGAGCAATGATGATACTGGACCTTCTACTCTAAAATCAGAAGTAGAGAATGCTATAAAGGGACTTAAAAATAACAAAAGACCAGGCAACGATAACGTATACGGGGAAGTATTAAAAATGCTGTGGGAAACAAACAGTCAATTTCTAGACTCACTCATCAGACTCTTTAACAATATTTATAACAGCGGGGAGTTTCCTGAAGACTGGCTAGAGTCAACTTTTGTTGCCATACCGAAAAAACCAAAAGCAAAGTCTTATGATCAACATAGGATGATAAGTCTAATTAACCACATTTCGAAGGCATACACCAAGGTTATTTACAACAGAATAAGCAAAAAATGCGAGGATAACATTGGAGATTCGCAGTTTGGGTTTCGGAATTCTCTTGGGACAAGAGAAGCACTTTTTAGTCTACAGGTACTCATCCAGCGCTGCAGAGATATGAACAAAGACGTGTACATATGCTTTATAGACTACGCAAAAGCATTCGATAACGTAAAGCACGAAAAGATAATTGAAGTTCTCCATAAGATCGGAGTCGACTACAGAGACATTCGAACAATAGCGAGTCTCTATTGGGGTCAAACAGCTAAAGTGAAAGTAGGATCTACATTGACCAATAAAATTGAGATCAAGAAAGGGGTACGACAGGGCTGTATCTTGTCTCCAATTCTCTTTAATATATACTCAGAAGAAGTATTTAAGACAGCGCTGGAGGAAAGCACAGAAGGCATAAAGATAAATGGAGAAATAATTAATAACATAAGGTATGCTGATGACACTGTGATTCTAGCAAGTAGCATGGAGGAACTGAGTTGCCTAATGAGTAAGATACAAAAAACAAGTGCACAATACGGACTCAGACTAAATATCACAAAAACCAAATGGATGTTAGTAAGCAAAACCCAACAACCACCACAGCAACTGATATTAGACAATGAAAGAATTGAACACGTGGATTCGTACATCTACTTGGGAACAACAGTTAACTCAAATTGGGATCAAGCGAAGGAAATACGTATAAGAGTAGAAAAGGCAAGAGCATCGTTCACTAGCATGAAGCAAATTTTCACCTCTAAAAGCCTCACCCTACCTCTCAAAATTCGACTTCTGAAATGTTATGTATTCCCGGTTTTGTTATATGGAATGGAGGCGTGGACAATGACCGCAACATTGATGAAAAAAGTAGAGGCCTTCGAAATGTGGGCTTACCGACGTATATTACGTATATCTTGGACTGAGCACGTGACCAACGAAGAGGTACTACGCCGGATAGGTAAAGAGAGGAGAGGTAGGAATAAGTATGAAGAAAAGAAAGTTGGAATACTTGGGTCACGTTATGAGACATAATAAATATAGAGTACTACAGCTGATCGTTCAAGGGAAAATAGACAGCAGAAGGGGTCCAGGGAGGAGAAGACACTCGTGGCTCCAAAACTTGCGGCAATGGTTCGGATTGTCATCTGCTGAACTATTCAGATCTGCCGTAAACAAAGTCAGAATAGCCATGTTGATTGCCAACGTTCGGAACGGACAAGGCACATGAAGAAGAAAAAGAAGGCGACGGGACGTATCCCTACTTTTTCAACGCAAGTAATGTTTTTTTTATGCAATTTTTTTATATTTATTTATAAAAAAATTGTTTATAAAAATTCATACCACTTTTTGAGACGGGGACCTACATATTGGTATTTCAGCGAAAAATTTACATAAGATAGTTTTCAACTATTCACACTTCCATGCATACAGAAAGGTGCCCAGCTGCCGGACTATTATTTGTGTTTTTTTTTTATATGTAATCATATTTATATTTCGTTGTAAATATTTTTATTCACTTCAACATTGTATGCAAAAAAAAAATAAACGTAAAAACGTTGTTATTCTACAAATTTACAAAATCATATCTCAGTCTGATTACAGGTTACAAAAACAATGTGTTTTGACGAACATGAATCACACTTTTAGTCATGATTTAAAATACAGTACGGGTGGATTTTGAACACTTTACCTTTGGTGTAAAAAGTCCGTGCTTTTATCTGAGTATAAGAATTAGACGAAGCACTAAAGCCAGGCGCACACGGTGTGCTTTTTTCAGAACAGAATCAATAATCAATTGTAGCATTTTGCTCATAAACGTCTTACACTGATATATTCCAACGAGAGTTTGTTATAAACATGGACATATAAACACAGATGGACTCAGTTATTTACATAAAATTGTAAAGTCAAAATTATTTGAATAGGTTACATTCTCAGCACCTTCAACTGTTGTCACGTTTTTTTATTAAAATTTCTTATTCGCGAGTCGCTGAAAATATTACTCCGTATTTTATACTCTACAGGTGCTATCAAATTAAAATAATAATTTATTGGATATATTAATATATTTAATTGTAATCAAAATATCAAGTGTGCATTATTATTTAATAATAGCGTATAATAGATATCAATCAATAATTTTATATTTAGAGGCACTAAAAACTATTTATAAATGGCAACGGTGTTTACATTTCTCTGTCTTTGTCTCTTTGTCTACGTCAAACTTCAAATGCTGTTCCATGTTTGTTTACTTTTGCAGTAGATGAGGAAAAGTTGTTTTCGATATTTTGGCTGTATTTTGAGTGATATTTGTGAAAAGTGAAATAAAATAAACGAAATATTTACATCCCGATCTCTCATTTCATTTGTAAGTACTGCCTATTTACATTATTTAAGATGAGGAACTGAGGAAGTGTGTTTGTTTACATTTTAATAGGCGTACCATTGGGTTTATTCAAGTTCATTAATGTATTAAATAAGATATGAGTTCATGAAATTAGTAGACATTTTTAAATTGTAATTAGACATCATATGATTAAAAAAGATTTGTTTAGTACCTTTTTAATTTAATATTTAATAAGATACAAATAAATTAGTGAAATGAATAAACTCATTTGTTTTTCTATGTAGGTTTCCAAATAATATTGACGATCGAACTATTTGGGTAGCAAATTTAGGAGAAAACACAAAGATTTTTTATTGTAGCATTATTTTGATACCTATTAAAAAATTAACTTGAATTCAACTATATTTTATTGTATTAATTTTAAAGCAAATAAAATTGTATTTTAATTTTTCTATAAAGACGTGATTTGTTAATAGTTAAAATCTCGTTTTTTTTAATTCTTTGAACGTGTTTTGATACATTATTACTACTTCCAATTTTTAAAGTCTGAATAATTATCCCCGCGATTAAAAATTCAGGCACGCTTATGCTCATTGAGGAAGCATCACATTCTATCGAAGCTTCAAAACATTGTGTGTTAAAGGTATCCTATTGCTGTGTCACAGCCACCTTTACTTCCAAGCCATGAAGTAGAAATTTGGCAACAACGCGTGGTAGTCCGACTGTGGTTTGTTTTGTTTAACATTTCATATAGGAAGGCTTGTAAAGTTTGTTGAATTTAGTGTTTTTTTAACTTTATTCGAATATTTTTATTTGTAAATTGTGTTTAAATCAATTAGAAAATATTAATATAAGTGAAATTTCATTAAATTTAGAACTTTTAGAAGATTCTTAACGACAATTTAAAAGGCAAGTATAAATAACCTACAAAACAAACTGAAAATAATAATACTTTTGCTTCTTGTTACAAAATATGTAAACTAAAAACAACAATAATAATACTTTTGTTTTTTGTTACAGATGATCTGGCATTGTTGTGTACCTTTGCAAAACCAATTATGCCAGTACTTTAAAAAGGAAACAGGCAGAAAGTACGTTTTTGTTTCCCAAAGATCCCCAAAGAAGGTATACTGGGTTATGCTCTATTCATAGAGAAGGCTGCACAATTACCAAATCTTCCGTAGTATGTGCCAAACATTTTCATGAAGATGATATTCAGCGGACTGAACAATGAGAAGATAAAGATGGAAAGGTACACATTGAAAAGTTAATATTTCCCAAATTAAAAGGCAATGCAGTTCCTAATATATTTCCTGAAGTACCATCATATGTAACTGTTCATCGTACTAAAGAAAGAAGGAATCCTGAAGACAGAAGAAACTTTTTGCATAAGAAGAGGGAACAAGAGATAACATAATTATGACAATTAGACTTAGACAATAATATCCCATTGAAAAACTGGACAAGTAAAATTACAAGTGACTGTGTATATTTCTATGTATTAAACATTAATCAGTTGGGACACAAGTGTGATATATTGTGTAATATGTAGTGTAAGAGCAGTAATTTTAGTGTAATCGTCACTGTAGGTAAGAATAGATTAAGTAGTAATGATTTGAAATGGATTTTACAATATAGTAAATTAACAAGATGGTCACAATTAGAGAACTTACTTACTCATTTAGATCTGCTTTTTGATAAGTGATAACAAATTTGACTATTACATTCAAAAATCTTTTGAGAATATAGGCTATTTTAAATCGATATACAAGTTATAAATGGTATGTTACATTCAACACATTTTTCATGTATACCTCTTTTAACTTGGTCTATATGACAACAAACCTATTCATATTTAAAATTGCTACTTTCGTATACCTAAGTATGAAAATTCAACAAAAGTTATAAGTAAATAGTAAAATATTTAATTTTCAATTAATTAATTTAGAACCATATTTATATTGTGTCTGATTTCTTAGGATGAATTTTTTAATCATAATAGTTACACTAAGTTTTTACTTAACAAATTTTATATCTTTTGTATTTTTAATAATCTTTTTAAATGTCGTATTAATGTATTGTGTTATTTATATGCTTAAGTACTTAATATTTAAAATTTCTAGAGATTCTTGACTGCATTTGATTGTAAGATTAACTGTTTGACACTGTATTTTAAGTGCAATAAATTGTACTCTAGTGATTATTTTATTGATAATATAACCTAAATAATAATAAAACTTTATATATATTTACTAGGTATATATAAGGTTTTATTAATTTAATTTCCCTAAAAATATTTCTGTAATGAATTGAAGTTTTCAAAATATCAGTTTCCTAAAATTCAAATTAGTTTAATTCTGGTAGACCTTACAGCTGATTATCGGACTACCGACGTCATAGAATGCGGTGTTGCCTTTTTTCCTTCATGGCTTGGAAGTAAAGGTATCCTATTGCTGTGTCCATCTGTGTTTATACGTCCATGGTTATAAAAATTCGAATTTTATCTCAAACTTTATCGGAAAGTGCCACTAGCCGGATTATAAGCGTTCGTTTACATTGCTAAATGCCTCTGCTAAATTTTGCTCTTATGTTAAATCTGTGGACCTGTCGTTGCAGACTATCTTCATCGTGGGCTACCAATATTGCGTCGTCTGCGTAACGGAGAAGTTGTATTTCTTTGTTTCCCATTTTGTATTGTTCAATCACAAATTAACCCCTTAATTTGTAATCTCACATTATTCTTAACTTCTTAATCTTTTATAGTTTCACCGTGTATAAGTTTGCATTATATATATATATATATATATATATATATATATATATATATATATATATATATTGCAAAACCATATCGTATGATAATTTAATAATTAGTTCATTTACCTACAACTAAATAAATTGCCGAATAATAATATTTTCTAATTGAACTTCCTAAGTGTCGCAATTAAGGCGTAGATTAAATTGTATTATAAGCAAAAGTTAGGTGGTGTGATATGAACGAAGCAATGACCTAAGGTGCTTATGTATCTATTATGTGTGAGATTATAAATTGGGGATTTGAGTTCAAATGAACACAGTCAATATTGAGTAGTTACCGAACGAACACCATATTGTGTAATTACGAGTTGCTGTCAATAAATCATCACTTTTATTCCACAACTTCAACATTTATTAACCCTATCATCAACGATCGACGAGAAGCGGACAAAGGTGCATTTACGAACCGAAACGAACTTCACTACTAAGTTCCATAATTTCCATTGGTCCTTCGAGTCTATTTCTTTGTTAACGCTTTTGAGGATTTCATCCATGATTAAATTAAAGCGCATGGGCCTCAATGAATTCCCTTGTCTTATTCCGCTGCCTATTTCTATAGGTTCCGTAAGTTGTATCTATTTTGACTTCCACTGTGGAAATTCCTTAAATTGATTACCTATTACAATCTAAACTTTGGTCACTGAATTTGTTTACACACAAATTTTCACCGTAAATTATCTTTTTTTTGGCTGTTTAGATTGTTTTAGATTTAACCTCAATTTAGCAACAACTGAGTTGTGATCATAGGTATAGCTTCATAGATCACTGATGTAGCCTAATAAATATCATTAAATACTGGTAAAAATACCCTTCGACTTTCCTTTTAAAAATTCTACTATGTAATCAATTTCTTATGACGATTAAAACTTTAAAATAATAAAAAAGTTAAACAATCATCCTTAACGTTTAACAAAAACCGGCGTGTGAGCTCGTCTTAAAAAACTTCGAACAATGAAACATAAACATCGACTATCTCGGACTTTGTTATTTAAAATGGAATTACCACAACGACAAATAAAAAATAAAGTACTCCAGAGATAATTATGTTTTGCAATTATAATATCTATACGATTATTACTATGTATGTAGTATTTTTTTTAGGTTTTTTTACATCAATGAAATCCGTTCACCAAACAAATAAAAAGTAAAATGTTAGAAATAGAAACAAATTAAAATGAACTAGCACAGAGAAACAAACATGAAATCACGTACAACGCGGTTATATATTGGGGTGCAAAATTAACCGGACACTCAGATTTTTTGGTTTTTGTTGGTGTTTGGATCAAAACTTGTTAAATTTGTTTGAATTGTATATTTTTCCTTATTAGCGATAACGTTTTTTCGCTACCGTTAGGTAGAGGGTAGGAACTTCTTTTCGGGTAGTCCTATCAGGAAAAGTGAATGGATCCCTGCCTTCCGCAGATTCCAGGTGTTTCCTGACCCGGGAAACTAGTACCTGCTAAGAGTCCCTTGACCAAGGTAACGGTTGAAGACCACAACGGCTTGGCAAACCAACCTTTAGGTGTTTCGCACTAAGATCACGATATAGAGCACACTTTGCGTCTGTACACGATTTAAAATAGTATATGCGGTATTTTTCGCGTAACTAAAGCGGGAAAGAGATAATTAGCGATAGAAAACAGCCAAGAAAGATGCTGTTCTTCTTGATAAGCGAAGAGAAAGAGAGAATGACTGTCCGTAGCGGTAGCCGACAAACAAGAGGGCACGACTGACACTAGCGGTAGTCAAATCAAGAGAGAGTCTTTCTTCTTTGCTATCTTAAAACTGTCTGTATTCGTAATGGTGTGGGGTTAAAATGTGAGAAGGAAGGGTTATTAAGGGTTGGACTAAGATAATGATTGTAAAATTGTGATAGAAGGGTAGTTAATAATACAGCGAAAAAATGACATGATTTTTCGCATGTTTGAAAATGCGAAAAGCATGATTGAACACTGCCTTAATCCGAAGTATGCCTGATCGAATAAGAGCCGTAATTAGGGCTCGTGGAGGTAAAACACTCTACTAAATATCGTTTTCCATAAAAAATGTTTATATGTATTAAAAAAAATAATTTTTGTTTCTTTGCAGATTTTTAAATTTTTTGAATTGTTTATTGTTTTTCTGTGTAACATTCTTGATTTGTAATAAAGTTGACTTAGATTTTGTTTATTACTAAATACTCAATTGGGAACATCTTAAAACTTTTATAAACGCCAGTTATTAGGAAAAATCTGAGTGTCCGGTTAACTTTGCAACCCAGTGTACAATGCTAACGAAAATAAGTAATAACGAAAGACAGTCCAGATCTAATTTTGTTTAAGCCGTTTCCGTAAGACAAGTAACCTATTAGTTAGAAATCGAGATGTTTCAACAATTATTAATATCAAAGTTCGGCAAATGTGACGCCTCGGGCGAGTGTCTACCTAACTAAGACGCGGATTTCGTTCAATATACAAAAAATTGCGCCCGGTCATTTTCAAGTTTAATAGACGAAAGACAGTTTAATATTAATCAAATATACAAATTAATAATCACATAAACTCACCTGTGTTCTTGTATAGCGTAATGAAGAGCGCTTTTGTTTTGTATATCTCTTGCATTGACGTTCGCTCCATTTTTTAAGAGAAACGCGCACAGAGGTGTGCTCTGTACGGAATTTATCAAACACGTCCCGCCATTAAAATTGGCCCTGTTAATGTCTGCGCCATGACTAACTAAATATTTGACGATATCGAAATGAGTCATGTAACAGGCAGAACGAACGGCGGTAGAGCCCGTGTCTGAGACGGCGTTTATGTCTGCTCCGTTGTATAACAACGTCTGGACGACTTCTAGTTTGCCCGATACTGCGGCACACCATAATGGAGTTACAACGTGGGTGGATCTGAAAATTTAAAAATGTTTCATTAATTTATTGAGCAGTTATGACAAAGAGTCAAAGGAAAAACTCAATCAGTCGAGTGCATTAAGATTATAGTGAAATTTAAACTGAAAGTGCAGTACGGTTAGGAAAGGAATGCGCATTTGCTGAATTTCACGCCATGTGCTTGGGAGCTCAAATAGGTCCAAGTACTGTCACGTACCGAATCTTACAAGGAACTTTGCGGAGGGGCTCTATTACGAGTAAAACAACCTTTTTTGATTTTAATTTATAATCCAAATTAGAATAAAATATATAAGACATCAGATATTTATTATAAAATACATATCGTCGTCAACACAAGAAAAATTCGTAACTCCATTTTCCTTATATTTTTAGGAGAGCCTAAAAACAGTAACATTTTCACGGATATCTTTTATTTGATAAAGAAGAACGATTAAACAACTATATTTTGAGTTTTGAAGTCATATTAAGCTGAATTATATCAATTTTAATTTCAAAAACTAGCAGATATAGCTAAAATACAGAAAATTTGGAGTTACAGGTTTTTCTTCTGTTGGAATGAGACGTGCTTATGGAGTTACGTGGCCATTCTTAGTAAAGCTGGATTGGAAAAAATTAATAAAAAGCATTAGTTTTCGATTTATAAAAACATATTATCTGACACACAAAAAATATCCTAATAATGAAATACAGACCAATACTTTTGAAAAAGGTTAACATAAAATTTAGTGTTATTTAATTACCTACATTAGAAATAGAAATTGGGCGTGCATGATTTGGACGCTAAATTTAAAATTCGACACTGAAAAATAAAATTACCTGTTTCTGCATACATGATTTGGACGCTGGGTGTAATTGAAATGTAAAATGGAAAGTCAGGTAATAAAATTCTAGAGATTAAGCTTGATAAGGCTTATTTATCACTTTGAAATAAATACGACCTACATTTTACGAAATGGAATCGATCGATACAGTTAGTTTGTTACTCATGTATCCTATTTCTAACGAACATAATTTTTTTTCTACTCTTTGGATCTTTAAGTCTATTACTTTCACTATTACAGATACTATTAATTTTAATGTAAGTTTCAGTTTGAAAATTTTTTAAAACATCAATAAAATGGAAAATATTTGGATGAGCATGGTAAAAATTAGCATTAAAACGCGAGTGGAACGATTCACAAGCATTAGTTGTTAATTGTAAACTCTCACTCATCGCAGCCCACATCTCCGACGAAAATGTTGCGTGGTCGCCAATGTAGTTGTCCAATAAGTAGTCGGTAAACTTTTCAATTTTTGAATCCTTTGGTTGAATAGCCATAAAATCATATATGAAAGATTCTTCGACTTCTGAGGGAGGTAAAAATGGCAGCCCAAAAATATATTTCAGCCATTTAGATATTTCACTGTCTGCCAATTTATATTCCCGAATTAAGCCACAACCACCGATATTACGATACCAAGCTTGCATAAGATGAAAACGGCAACCTTTAATGTGCACATTTGGAAATTCAAAACGCGCAGCATTGTGGATAGCAATTTCAAAATCGGAGAAAATAATTTTTGGATTGAATTTTAGACCAATTACTTCACATTTGCGTTTCAAAACATTAAATAGTTTTATATAGGTTTGTTCCGATTTGCCGGGAAGTAAAAAATAACACAATGGTATATAATGTCCATTGATAAATACATGTATGGTAAAAAATTGCTTAAAATATTGAGCACAGTAACTAAATGTACCGTCCATATAAATCGTTTCACTGCCGCACAGAAAACGCATGTTAGTGTTACACGAGAAGATGATAATGTTAGAACTTAGTTCAACCGCAAATATAAAATTCTCGTCTTTAAGTGTTTTGATATTCATAATATTTACCGCAGCAATAGTTTCTTCTTTACTTTTGGGCAGTTTCGGTTGAGCCATTCGCCGTTCACTGTATATTTGATTTCGTATTAAATTAACGTCTTTAACAGACATGTAGCTGAAGCAATCTATATTTTCTTTCAACGCACTATGTATGATTTTGGACTGCCTTTCGGTCAAAATATCCTTAGCCTTCCTTTTGGCACTGCTACGCACAATCTGTCTATTAAGCGTCTTGATATCACACTCGTGATTATGTTCTAGATTACTTCGGATCACTAACTTTTCTGGCCCTTTCGTGAATATCTTCGCTTTACACGACCGTTTTACGCACCTCCAATACGTTTCTCCCGATTTTAGTACTTTATCTTGAGAAAAAGTAAAACTGTTCACTTTGAGCAAAATTTTACCACGATTACTTACTAACGTTGAAATTTCCATGTTCACTTTTCACTATTCTCTGACGAACTAATAACTAGTAACTAAGTAAAGTTCAATGACCATCATTAAACCCTAATTATATCTAATATCTGGTACCTGCGATAATCCTTCCGGCAGCGTCCAAAACAAGGGTACTTTTAAGACCCTCAGGTACTTCAGCGTCGAAAACATGCCCGCCCTAGAAATTAGCCTCACTTTTCAACAAAAATAAAGAAAATTTTAATCTAAAATAAATCTAAAATAAAATCGCATAAATATGTACAAAAACAAGTGTAGTACAACAGTGATGTGATAGGACTTAAAATACCATAGTTAGTAAGGGAGATTGTCATAAAATAAGTGGAAATCGAAATCAAGGGTATTTTTAAATACTGCAAATGTTCGAATTTGTCTTTCTTTAATGGTATTCTATTTGTGCAAAGCTTCGGTAGATCTGCGAAGTTCTTGTGTATTACATTCTGATTTATTCAATAAGGCAGTTCAATCCAATTTTCACCAAATTTTAACTTGTAATAAATACCTTGTGGTAAATATTTTGTAGTTCTAATATTGGTCACAATTGCATCACCCTATTTTACCCGGTCGAATACTGCTTACATAGTTTACTGCTCTGAAGTCCTTAAAAAAATCATGGTATAGTCGAGTTATTACAAATGGATTTTCCTTTTGCATAATTGTATGTAATCACCGGGCACATTAATATCGCATCCTCTCAATTGCACAATTGCATCATGTCGGCCTCCATCTGGGTGTGCCCTTTCTCAATTTATTTTTGTATAACTGTTACTTTCTGCTTTAAACAAAAGTTTAAAATTGCATTAGCTAGAGTAACAGAATGATTTTGATAAGTACAAGAGACAACTCTCTTCAGTATATTTTTCTAAAATACTTACGATTACACTAGCAAATTTGGCACTAGTAAGATTCCCCTCCGACTCGTACCAAAGAAAACAATGTCCTTGTTTTGTGTGTAAGTTATATAATGTGAAATTATGGATTGTCAACTTTTTTATTTAATATAGGGAAGAAACATTGGACTTGGGACATACAAGAATTGCCTGTAAATCTATTGTCAATACAATGCTTTCACTGTTTTTATCTTTAATTTTCTCAAATCTTGCCTCTTGTTTTTTCAACTGATGTTCCCTAAATGTTTCTTGGTCAAGATTTCCTGTTTTAAAAGAGACACATATTTCACACAAATCTTTTTTGGGTCTATACAAAGCCAACCTCTTTTTAAGAAAAGCGTTTTTCAAAAAGGAGAAAAAGATAGACTGTTAATTCGTTTTTTTAGGTACCATTCGTTTTTGTAAACATGGTGAAGTTGACATTTGCTTTGCCATAATGGTTCTAGATATAATTTACTAGTTGATTACCTGCAATAATGCGATTCCATTTTCGGCAGGCTATCTAAAAAACTATAAAGATTGTCCAACTCCTTCTTGTGAAGTCCTTTAGGCGCTTGTTGTGATTCATTATCCAAATTTTCTGTAATAGCAGAATCATCGTCTTGTTTGCAATTCATAACAAACCAATCTTTAAGGCCCAGAGTTGACAAAAACATTTTTTTGCATACCCTTCGTTTATTTTCTCCAATTTTCAAATAATATTTTAATGTCTTAGACCTCCGTGATACATCTTCATTTTTTATATCCCTCTTTCGTTTTGGTGCTTCAAATACTACCAACGTTTTGATATACATTATCTTTTCAGACCATATCCATGTCCAGAACTTATTAAAAGCATGTTCCAAAACAACAAATCCCTCCAAAACAACAAATCAAATCAACGGTCATAATCACTTAACTGACTTAACAGAAAATGCGCGGAGTTACGTGTTTTACAAACATAATTTTTGACCAGGGAGATACCTGCTTTTCTAGTAAACATTTTAAAATTAGAAATCTACATTTAAATGACGTATTATTTGTCTGGATGGCTAGAATAAGCGATTTGCTAATAGATGGCAGTAAAATCTCATTTTAAGTAAAAAATTGGAGTTAACCGGTTGTCTTGTGTCGACGACGATATACACACATCAAAATAATCTAGGGGACACCTATAGTAATAGCTTTAAATCAATATTAGAAATATACTGCATGAAGTAGAGTTAAATGCTCGAATACCTATGAGAGTGCCTGCGTTATCCACAGAAAATCGTGCTCATCGACTTCAGTGGGCACAAGAACATGTAAATTGGATTAGACATAAGTGGGTCTCTACTTTGTTCACAGATCAGTTCCGATTTTAATTTGCACCAGATACAAAACGGACAAGAATTTGGAGACGATCTGGCAATGCTGAACGATTGGTCACCGTGTAGGAAGTTCATAGACAGCAAGGCGATAGTATGATGGATATGGAGTGGTATTACTCTTGGTGGAAAAACCAATTATTCTCAAACGTATTGTTGTACCCTTTGCACAACAAGCTGGTACCAAATTTCAACTAACGTACGACACTGCGTGTCCGCACACTATCAGGGTCGTTCGAACATACCTCGAAGATAATAAAAATGATGTTTTACCACGGCCTGCGCAATCGCCAGATTTAAATTCAATTGAGCATGTATGGGACATACTGGACAGACGCATTTTACAACAAAATATTGCGTTCAATACAAGATAGCAACTGTTTAGAGGGCTTTTCAATGGAGTGGAACAGAATACCGCAGCAAGACATTGACCATCTG